TTAACTAAAATCTTCAGTTACTGAAAAAGTTTGACAGGGTCTATTTTCTTTGCCATTACTTCAGTATAATATGTAGGGACTCCAGAAGAAACTAGCTGGAGACAGGTTCAAAACAACAAGGAGAAGAATTTAGTGTCACAGCATAGAATCATCGAACAACAGAATGGTTTGGGTTGGAAGGGACCTTAAAGACCATCCAGTTCTGACGTCTCCCACCAGACTCGGCTGCCTCCAGCCCCACCCAACCTGGTTTTGAGCGCTGCCAGGGATGGGGCATCCACAGCTTCTCTGAGCAGCCTGTTCCAGTGCCTCACCACCCTCTGAGGAAATCTGAGCCTACTCTTCTAGTTTAAAGCCAATATCCCTTGTCCTGTCGCAACACTGCCTGACAAAGAGTCCCTCCCCAGCTTTCTTGTAGGTACAGGAAGGCTGCAATGAGGTCTCCCTGGAGCCTTCTCTTCTCCAGGCTGAAAAACCCAACTCACTCAGCCTCTCTTCCCAGGAGAGGTGCTCCAGCCGCCTGAACGGTTTCATCCACCCTCCTCTGGACCTGCTCTAACAGTTCCACAAAGTTAAATTGTGTGACTTTGCTACAAAATGCCACAGATGCAAAAAGTTTACGTAGGTTTAAGGAGAAAGTGGCCAATATCATGAAAGAATTGGCTACAAAATACAACACAACCTCTAACTTGGAAGTCTTTGATCTGCAAGGTGGCAAAACCCGGAAGAGTGGGAAAGAAACACTGCATGCTTTTGCCCAATTATTAAAACCGTTCCCAGGCTTCCCCTTTCCGCCATCATTTTCTTTTCCATCACTCGTCTTGGTCTTTCCAAATGCTTTGTCTTGCTTTCTGGTGATCTCCTTTCATACCTACTCCTTCCCTTTCTGTTTCGTTATTCACAGTGAACAGTAACCCCATTCCTGCCTTCAGACACCACAGATCCTTTGGCTGTTAGCACACCAGTTCTTTCCCATCTTGCTCCTGTTCAGATCACTGGAGAAGTTGCCACTACCCTGCAGTGACTGGACAATGAAATTCACCAAAAATAACACAGAATCACAGAATCATCTAGGTTGGAAGAGACCTCCAAGATCACCTAGTCCAACCTCTGACCTAAGACTAACAAGTCCTCCACTAAACCATATCACTAAGCTCTACATCTAAACACTTTTTAAAGACTTCCAGGGATGGTGACTCAACCACATGTTTCATAGCAAAGCACTCAATGGTCAAAATCGAACCAGCACACTGTGTGGCCTTCATCTTAACTCCTGTAATGTGTCTTCAAACGATGATAGGTTCCTGTGGAGACCTTCTAGTTCTGTATTCCAGCCAGGTCATCAATTCTTTGGATTTTAAATTTTACAATTTTGGGGGAAATTTGCAATCTCATTTTTTTTATGTTAATAACAATAATTAAAAAAAAAAAAAGTTATTTATACTTTCCCACAGCTGCCAAAGCCAAATTGAAAAAGTGTGCTGAAAGAGTTGCAACTTAGGTTGCCAATTTCTAGACGAGTCCTTGAGTAGGAAGCATGCTGTGTGATCTGAAGTAGCCAAGGGACACCAAATGCTTGGGCAACAGCCGCTGCCACAAACACTTTTTTTTTTTCCCCCCAGTATAAACCCATGATTTCCAGTTCATTTTTCTTTCAGACATACTTTTACGGGAAGATATTCATTGAAAACTAAGGCCCAGCTCTCATTAACACTGGAAAGACCCACAGTCAGCGGTAGGCTGATAGTGTCTCATGGCTCTGCGCTAAGCAGCTCCACATCAGCACGGTGCATGGAAACGCCTCGCCAAGGTCAGATCTCTGCAAACAGGGAGAGCTCCAGTTACACTAAAGGTATGGAGGCATTAGTAGGATCAGGTTTGAGAGTAAGTCCTAATGTTGAGATGAAGGCTCAAAACATAAAGGTTTTGAAACTGTTTGTTAAAGCAGGATGAATTTGGTATTTCCCACCATTTTAAAGAAATATTTGTTCAAGAAATAATAGTCTCTCAGTATTCTGAAAAAAAAACAGAGCCCAATGGAACATATGGATTCCACAGAGTATCAGTGAGACATCAACCTCACCTGACCCTGCTTGACTTCTGAAAAATTGCATCACTCATTAAAAATTTTTAACAAGTACTTCATCAGAGGATTTCTTTCAAAGGTTCACGCTAGAGCTGTCAAATAGCAGTGAGAAAATCTAGGTTTTATTACTTGTGTGTGTGTGTTTGCATTTATCCTTAATTGCAACAAAACAGATGTCATTTTTTAAGAGTGGGAGAATAAACAGAAGGGTCCTAAATATTTTCCTACAATATCGGTGATTCAAACACAATAGTATTTGCCTAGTGTGCTTACAGTGAAATGATTGATTATCCTTTTTCTATTCAAGAGGGACAATTATAAGAACTAGTGTAAGCCTCAAATTAATAATAAAGCTGTCAGCATCACTGATTGTATCTAGTTCACTATTAAATCATCAAGGGGAAACTGTTCACATGTTCTACACAGACTTAAAGAATATATATTGTCTATAAGATAATCATCTTATTTACCATTAAAGGCTGGAGAAGCAGCAGAAAAAGGAAGGCCTTCTGTAAATCAATTTAGACATTGATACATTTATTTTCTGATCAAATACATTTCTTATTTGGGAGAGCTATAGCACACAGAACAATAAAAGGGAAACCTCCAGTACTGCTGAAGAAGCTAAAGTTGTTTCAAAAGCTTGTTGTTGTTGTTGTTAATGTAGGTTATATTGATCCAATAAGTAGAAACAAACTGAAATTTCTCATTTAACTACTCTGGTAAAATCACAATCATTTTGAGAACTTGAGTACTTTTTTTGTGTATTGATTTAATGATGAAAACACCACTGATGTGATGTCAGATGGTTTCGACGGGGCAGATCACATCCCACTTGGGTCACTGCAGAGAATGCCTGGGTGTCAGTACAGAGAGAGATCAGCTGTGACATACTTTACCTGAGGTGACACTACATAGAACAGGTGCAGTGAAGAAGAAATTAAAGACCAGAAGCAGCAGATCTGTTCCACAGGCTGTTGTACCCAGTAGGCACACAGTTGACTTGTCTGTAGGTGAAGTAGTTCCTGCATTTGTGTACAAGGGATGACAGTTAAAAATGCCTCATAAGAAAATTACTGTTATATAAAAAGCTCTTGAAAAACAAAATAGGATTCCAAGTGAGCTAGCTGAATTTTGTTATCAAGTCCTTGAACAATATATGAATTACAGGTAAGAATAAAACAAAGTCATAAGGCTGTATCACAAAAAAAAAAAAAAAAAAAAAAAAATAATAATAAAAATAAAGGTGGGACTGAAAGGCTTTAAAAATTCAGGGGCATTGATGCAAGAGCAGAAGGGTAGACGACAACAAAATACAAGTTGCCAAAACATCTGAGTAATCACATTCACTAGAAAGATCTCCTTGTTTTAACCTTTTTCTCAACATTTTCCTGATACATTGTTTGAAGTTACTATTTTCATTTGCAATGCAAATTGGAATTTTTTGAAAGTATTTTGCCTCAGTACTTCTAAATAAACTGCTGATTAATTATTAAATGTAGATGGTCTTCGTTCTGATGTATCCCAGTAGCATCTGAAATCAGCCAGCTGATGTTAACTTGCAAGCTTTGGGTTGTTCTGTTTGCATACACCTTCTAAGTGAAAGTATAGATATGGTTGTACATTCCCTAATTTTACCCTGGACAAGGGACCTCCTGAGGTCCTATCCAAACAACATTTCTCCAAGACAAAGACACATCTTTGCTATGAAAGTTCAGTGATAAACAAATGGCTTCCTTTTAAAAACAGATGCTGCTCCGAGGGCTTGGGGTTATTCTGCTATTATGGGAGGAGTTTAAACTGATCCTTCAGAAAGCAAATCTGAAAGCAGCAGGAAGAAAAAGCAAGTACTGGAGGAAAAAAAAAAAGCTTAGGTTATAAGCCAGGAAAAGTGAGAATTGTCAAATGCAACAGGATGTAGAATAACGTTTAAAGAAAAGTTAGAACAAAAAATCAGGCCACGTAATGGTAAAACAACAAAAAAGGATGTATAAAGTAATTAACATGGAATCGACATGAAAGACATCACTGGGAATATATAGGAATAATTACCACCATAGCTTCTTAATGGATGGAGGACGTTTCAGCCTCTGGAAATACTGGGTTCCTCTGCAGGCACTTGGCTGGACTCCCATCCTGACGCAGGCTTTCTTGCATATCCGTCCCAGCTTGGTTCCAGCTCCCTCAATTGCCTCAATCCTGCAGGAAAACACTGCCCTGGTGCTGGGAAGCTGCAGCACATACCTTCTATTTAACCGACTGATCAATAGCTCTTCCTAACCAGTTTTATTTTAGGTAGATATTTTGTACTTCCTGGTTAGGCTGCTTATTTACTTCTTTACCAGTCAGTTCAGAACCGAGATAGTGTGGAATTTTTTATTTCTTGAATGTTTCCAAGATTACTATTTCCTACACATTTTTAAGATATTTTTTTTTTCTGTAAACGTGTGTATCTCAAAATTCAGGTGGCCCATCTACACTGATAGCTCTAGGAGTGAGGACAGTTCAGAAACTGAACCATTTGTTAAACGTACATTTTTTTTTTGTCATTTTATATGTTTTTATATATCCGTATCTGTATATACTGGACAATTGTGCCATTTTATCATTGCATGATGGCCGTGACCTCCTGTGCCATACTGCCTTGCTTATTGGCCACCCGTGGCGTTCTGTGGCAGGGGACATTGAATTGCGGCAAAAACTCGAAACGTGACAGGACAGGGGCCTGCAAGGCGCGTGAAGAAAGCTGAATTTTCGTGAACTGCCCACGCTCAGCACGACCATGCGGTACCCGAGCGAGGAGCCGAGGGCCGCTGCCAACCGGGGCCGCCGCCCTGAGGGGGCCGCGGCGCCGCCGGCCGTTAGCGGCGCTGCCCGGCGGGCGGAACCTTTGCGCGGGGCGGCGGCAGCCGGCCGGAGCGGGGAACCACGGGGCCGCGCCGCCGCCGCCTCCTCCTCCCCCTCCTCCTCCTCCTCCTCCTCCTCCTTCCCCCGTACGGCCGCTGCCGCGCCGGGAGCCGCGCGTCGCAGACACCGGCCCGGGGGGGCGGGCAGGTGGGTGAGCGAGCGGCACCGCGGCCGCCTCGGCGGCACCAAGGTCGCGGCTGCCGGCCCGGCCCTCCCGCTGCCCTCGGCGCGTCCTCGGCGGGCCCGGGCCCGGTGCCGCGATCCGGCCGAGAAGCTTCTCGGTGAGGGCACGGGGGGCGCGGGGCAGGAGGGAGGCGTTGGCCCCCGCTGAGGGTGGCGATGTGCCGGCAGCCGTGAGGGGCCGCAGCGAGCTGAGCCCGACCGCTGCCCGCGCCTTCCCCGTGCCGCAGCGGCCGCTGAGGAGAGGACGCGCCGGGAAAGTTGAGGCGAGGGTTTTGAGCGTAACCTTTCCCTTAAAATGGCTGTTCGGCGAGGCTTGCGTGGGAGACGTGGTGTTGGTGGGGCTGTTTGCTGGCTTGGTTGGTTGGTTTGGATGTTTTGAGGGGTGTTGGGGCCCAGTTTTCTTGCTCGGTGAATATATAGCCTGTTTGTTTTAATAAATCACGCTTAATAGAACGTGTTGAATCTGCTGGCTTCATGGCTTGCTTAGATGATAAACAGACAAATTTTATTTGGTTTCCAAGTAGATATGTGCAGAAAGGATCTTAACTTTTTAAATTTCTACACGGGGGTGAAGGGTGTTAGAAAAACAAAACCAAAACTGTTTTGGTGGTCACTGCTAGAATATAGCAGTGAGCTTTTGACTGACTTGGGTGAACGTATCAGGATGCTTCTCCTGATTCCAGCACGCTGAATTTTTGCAAAGAAAGTCCGTGGTATGGTACTGGTGTTGCCATTACTTGAACACAGAGTCAACGTAATGTGACTACTAGCCAAGAGTAGGGGAATTCAAGGATATTTGGGTAGTCCAGCTTTCCCCTGGCTGACAGCTCGGTTTGGAGGTCAGCCAAGGAATGGATAAAGCTGCCAAAAGGAATTGCCCTTGCAGCAGGAAAATCAGGCAGCGAATGAGTAGGACTGTGGGCATTCTTGTATGGAAACCCACGAGCTGAGTGGAAAGTAGGTTAAGGGAAGAGGACCCCAATTTTTAAGGCGTTTTTGTATGGTTTAAGAAGAATTTTATCTCTGCAGCACACTACTGTAATGTGAAGGTGTTATACGTTCTGGATGGTGCAGCAGCCAGCCTTTTCCCTTGATAACTCTGTGCCACATCCAGCCTTTTCAGTTTTCCAGGGTTATTATTAACACGGAAGACTACAAATACATTCTGCTAGGTGCAGGCTCCAGCTCTTAACCTCATTATATCTGAATAGAAGTTGTCAATCTTCATTGAATGTGACAATTCAGTGCCTTTCCTTAAAGCTTCCTCTTAGGAAAAAAAAAATAAAACAACACAACAGTTAGCTTAAGTAATGTATTTATCTTTGTCTCCATGACTTAGCATTCTTAGGCCAATAACAGTCAGATAATTTCAGTTTTAATGGGAATGCAAGCTTGACGCTGAAATAAAGTGATCTTTCTTGGCAAGGTATTATGGAGCTGAAAGAAATGCTGATTTCTTAATGGAAGACTGAGATGGAGACCATTTTGTATGTAATCAGTCAAGAAATTGGGCCTCAGATTGCTGTTGTCCTTTGTCCTCTGCTTCCTGGAAGTGGAACTGAAACCATGTCATCGTTATACTTAGTGCTGCATACTTTAACCTTACCCAGTTTTATGTATTGGCACTGTGCTGTTGTTGAGGTACTTCATGGTAACTACATAGTAAACTTCATGCTCTCTGTCTGCCTGGAAATATATTTAAACCCCATTTTATGAAAACTAAGGTAGGCATCTTCTCAGTTTTACTTTATTTTTTCCTTTCTCTCTCTCCATTGCTTTTTTTTGTTTAGTGTTAAAAGGCAAAATGGTACATGCTGAAACCTTCTCACGTCCCCTGAGCCGGAATGAAGTGGTCGGATTAATTTTTCGTTTAACGATATTTGGTGCTGTAACATACTTTACCATTAAATGGATGGTTGATGCTATTGATCCGACCAGAAAGCAAAAAGTAGAAGCTCAGAAACAGGTAGGATTTTATTCGTAAGTACTTTTGTGAAATACTCTTTCATTTATTACTGCTCAGACAGAGAAATCTGCTAACTGTAAACTGGACTGGGAATAACCACTGAAGTAATCAACAAAACTAGATGTGTATTTTATTTTAATAAATATCAGGATCCAAGCTATTAGTGTTTTCAGTATTTACATCTTACAACAAGTTTAAGTGTTTAGCTTTTAGTTATAGAAAAACTGCTGAACTGCAGTTCTGTGTTGCCTCTCTAGTTATGTGCAAGTGTGTGGTCTCAATACCTCTTCTGACAGCTTTGCTAAGCAGCAGTTGCATTAAATAATGCTCTCAGTTGCTTTTTAAAACCTTGACCAGAAATAACTTAATTCTCTGCTGCTTTTTGGCAACTTACTGGCAGGGCCAGGAACTGTAGTTACTCATGACAGTGAGGGACACTGCTGTACAAATGCCTTTTTAGGCATTTCACTTTAAAAATCAGCTTTCACAATCTGTGCTACTGCCAGCTATTATATAAGGCTGCAATATCCCAAAATCATGTCAGACCTAACCACAAGTTTGAGTGTAAAGAGAAACTGAGTTGTGAAAGTGTGTTGACACAATAAATGACTTTTCCTTTTAAGTTGGGGAAAAAAACACATTGAATACATAGAAAAAATGACTGGCCTCTGTGCAGTATCTTTTTTTTTTTTCCTTGAAAATACATCATTCTCTGTCAATGATACAGTGGTGTTGGGGACAGAAGGTTGGGTGTTTGCTTTTTACAGTGACACAAATGATATTTTCCATTAAAGTGTGCACGTGTGTTATTTGTAGGGATATGAAGGTAATATAAGCATGTGAAGTTTGTCTGAATCCTATACAAAGTTTGTAAAGAATTAAGGACTCCTTGGCTGCTTTTTTTTTTTTTTTTTTTTAAGTGTAACATGTCTCTATAAGCTTTGGAAACTCACACATATTATGGAAGTGTACTGAGGTTACCTGTGTGCCAGCCCTGTTCTGATCAGCAAAGTCAGTGTGTTAATGTTTGTTTTGGTAGCTTTTCAGGTTATAATAAATGACTTGTAGGTCTGGGGCAGTGGGAGGGTTGGTGTGACACTTACTTGATGGGAACTGAGACGTTATTTAGTTTCGCTCAGGTGACAGCAAGTCATTTGGAAATAGCAGAGCTTTCCTCTTCACAAAGATCTAGTTTCTTGTCAAATGTGACTTACTGAGAAGCGTATAGTTCTTATTTCTAACCTTCAGACTCCAAGTATCAGTTCTTTTAAAAATATTTTTCGAATTGTTATCTATTTGTTCCTCTGATTTTCTTGGTGTTTTATTTCCCTTAGGCTGAAAAGCTAATGAAGCAAATTGGAGTGAAAAATGTCAAGCTTACTGAATATGAAATGAGTATTGCTGCACATCTTGTAGACCCACTAAGCATGCATGTAAGAAATTGTTTTCCATTTTATTCCTATAAAAGCACTTCGGACATGGAAGATACTTCTGTGTTGTGTTGTTTGGATGATATTTGGCATATATACGTATCCATGGAAATACACAGAAAATATTTCTGTAGTTTGAAACTAAGGTAGCATCATGAAGCATAAAGCTTCCTTTCAACTTCCTTTTAATTTCTTATCCCCCTCAATAATTTCTAATACTGTGTTTCCATATCAGGTAACCTGGAATGATATAGCAGGCCTAGATGATGTTATTACAGATTTGAAAGACACTGTCATCTTGCCCATCAAGAAGAAATACTTGTTTGAGAATTCCAGGCTCTTACAGCCACCAAAAGGTAGGAAGGAAATGTTATGAATTTATATGCTGATATTTAAAAAATAATAATAATAAAAAGAGAAAGGTTAGAATTACCTAGAAAAGAAAGAGGAAGTGGGTTGACAGTTATCTAAGGGTTTTTCCTCTTCTACTGCCATGAATTCAAATTTTAGTGAATGTTTTATTTTAACTATGAAGTGATAATTGATTTTAGTTGCATTTTGATGAATTAATCTATGTAATCTGCATTTTTAATTGCCTAAATTGTGGATTATTTTTATACCTCATCTTGCCTTTTGACCAAGGTGAGCTATAACTCTACTGTACAACTTTGTACATTTATTAATATTTTTATGGTATCATGGAAATGTAAGTTATAAACACAAAAACTTGTTTTAAGCTAATGTTTTACACAGCTCTCTAGTCTTAAAAATGTTGGTCTTTGTTCTAGTTATGGAAATTCCAGTCATTCAGAGACAGGCATACCATTTTCATTTCGGAGATCCATTTATTTTTTTTTTTGTTGGAGTTGAATTGGACAGTATTGAGGCAGTAAGGAAACTGTTGGGTGACAAATTAAATTTCCAACAGTAAAACGGAAATTGGACTATCCGCACTAGAATGCTTCTGGCCATATTTGTTGTATGTTACAGAAAACAAAGAATTTAAATCTAAAATGTTGGACACAATAAGAAAGTTTATTTTTAATGTTCTGATCCCTGGAATTTTCTGAAAACAATTAATTACTGTCTGCATTAATTGCATATCTGTAACCATCTCTTCCTAGTTTTGTGAACAAAAAGATGAAAAATGAAACAGTTCTGTAACTAGTTTAGCTTTTTCCAGGCTCCTATCTGTTTAAGTCACAAACTGGAAAATTATTTTAATGTCATGATCTAATATGTGAAAGGGAAATTTTTTTATTTATTTATATTTTAAAGCATACTTTCCATATAGGACAAGCTCTCCTGTTTTCATAGTCACTTAAATCGTATGTTAATAGGAAGTCATTTTTTCAGATTAGTTATTCTTGTGGTCATCAATTGCATAAACAGAAAAAAAGGTAATTTTTTTTTTCAGAATTGACCTTTTTTTTTAAATTGTTTTCTTTACAACTATGTTAGAAAAATATTACTGCGAATTCTTTCAACATGACAAGTTTCTTTCAATATGACAAGTTATAAAAATAACATGAGATGTCATGCTTTAATTGTGTGTGATTTGTTTAAAATGTTTGTGGGCTCTATTTTTGTTTAACCCCTTTGTGCTAAGCTTTCTCAGCAAAATTGAAATTAACTGTAAATAAGGCTTATCAAATGCTTATAAAAATGTTTTTAATATTACGTTACATTTACAGTCACTGTAATAAAACAGTCATCTCTCAGACAAGTTTCTTCTAAATTTCACCATATTCATCCACTTTTAGACAGTCTTAGCTTTAATCTTAAAACAAGGCTCTCTGAAATAACTAAAATGACTGTGTTTGATTTGATGGAGCACTGTATAACTTGATGTCCTGTCCTTTAAAACTTGAACAAAATACAAGCCTGGACCCTCTCATGTCTGTTGTGCCAAAACATGTTTTCTGTACTGCAACCAGAGAACATTAACACTGTGAGTTTTTCAGGAGTACTTCTCTATGGCCCTCCTGGTTGTGGCAAAACATTGATCGCCAAGGCTACAGCAAAGGAAGCAGGCTGTCGATTTATTAATCTCCAGCCTTCAACGCTGACTGACAAATGGTATGGAGAGTCTCAAAAACTGGCTGCTGCTGTCTTCTCCCTTGCTATAAAGCTCCAACCATCCATCATTTTTATCGATGAAATAGGTAAAAATCTGTGTTTTTTAAGTAACTGTAGCAGAGTGGCAGTAGGCTGTAGGTTTGAGTTGATGGTTATATTGAGCTGTTGTCACCTGTTTCTTAAAAGAATGATAATGGAACAAGGTTTAGTAATAAAAGTAGTAGTGAAAAGTAATGGTGACATAGTAGGAAAAACAATGTATTTCGTGTATTTCTCTTTTTTTTTTTTAATTTGCTAGTGGAGGAAATTGCTAGTGGAACAAGTTGCTGCTTATTTTTGGTTAGGCTAAGATTCGTGTGGAAAGCCTTTCTTTATAAAGGGAAAGCTATCGCCAGATACATTTCAACACTGAATAACTTTTTTCCATGAGGCCACATAATGGGAAATAAAATATGGGATTAGAAGAGCTCAGGAATAATAATCTAATTAGGCAGGCTACGGAAGTAGGAGGGGAACTTCAGCTAGGAAGGCAGCAAAGTTGCCAGTTGTTCAGTGCATTAGAGCTTGTCACATTAGTATTTAAGTTGCTGTAAGCAGTCTAGTTAAAATTGTTCATTTATTCGTATCACTGGCACTTAACAGAGTGTGTTTTACAGTTTGCGGAAAGGGAGCATCAAAGGGGCTACTTTCATAAGATGCTGTTTTTACTTCCTATAGGTATGAAAAATGTGCTTTTCCATAGCTGCTGGAAATTCTTAAGGCAACCTGTGGCAAAGCTAGAACTCTGCATAGCAAAGTATATAGCCTACTTCATATCAGTCCTGCAATTTACTGTTCTTGTGTGCTTTGGTGATTTCTAACTTGCCAGACTCTGAATGCTTCCATCTCTGCGTAAGAAATGGAGGTGAAAGTTAAGTTTCCATTCAGGAGAATGAAAATTTGGATCACAAGATTTAGGACAGTCCCATGTGATAGTTACATACGTACGTGATGTAACTTAAAAGATGGGCTTAAAAATGTGGTAAAATTCCACTATCCTCTTCGTTGTAATAAATATTTTCCCTTTCTTGACAGCATTTATTTTAAAAGTACTTGTAAGACAGAGAGTAGGATCAGTCTGCACATAAGAAACCAAACAGCATAGTTTCAGTGGCAGGATTGAAAGTCAGCTGCTTCACTGATTCCTTTAATACAGATTCCTTCTTACGAAGTCGTTCGAGTTCTGACCATGAAGCTACAGCTATGATGAAAGCTCAGTTCATGAGTCTGTGGGATGGACTGGACACTGATTATAACTGCCAGGTAAGTGAAGAGGATGGCAAGAAAAGCAGTGTGATTCTGTTATCTCATCTTTTATGCGTTGAATCATTTGGGAAGAGTAGCAGATCATGTGTAGTAATTGCTGAAAGAGTTTCTTTACCTATTAGTGATTACCCGTGAATTATGGGGATGAGATGGATTAATAGATTGTGTTTCTTCTTGAGAGGACTGTTTCTGTAAGTGTTTTGTTTTAAATTTAGAGCTGTTATTTTCTGAAGTCTCTTAAGTCTCAAAAATATAGCTGTAAAGTTTGAGCTGCCAAAATTGGGAATTTTGAACTGCTTTGAAAAACACCTTGTGAACAATAAAAAGACAAAAAAGAAAGAAAAAAAAAACAACAACCACCCACCCAGGAAACATGACTTGCGTGCTGCATAGAAGAGAGCCTGCTCTATGTTTTTGAAGTGTTACCTGGGGCAATCTTTTTCAGGCCTTTAAAAAGGATGGTTATTCTCCAAATACTAAATTTTCAAGTTTTTAAATCTGTTCTGAGTTTTTAACCTGTGAATGAGTTCTGATCCTCTGAACCCCATCATTTTTTTCTTTATAAAAATTGTTCTTCTTGCTCTCTCAAGCATATAGTAAAGACTGTTTTTCAGGGGATTTTTTTTTTTTTAATGGTTAGAAGACACTGAATAGATGTGCATAGAAGCTTTAAAGCAGAGTGTTTGCTTACTGCTAGTGGGAGGCTAATGGTATGAATATTTTAGTGGAAGCTAAGATGATCTTGCAAGCATACATTCCTTCCAATGTTTGAATATTATCTCTTTTCCAATAAGTGACCACTTGGGTTCAGCATGCTGAGCTTGAACAAGTTATTGTTGTCCCTTATGTGTATGCCTCTGCATAGTAGGGAGTTGCTGCAGTAAAATGCCGTGCAACAGCTGGGTGAAGACGCTGTGGCTGACGGAGGTTTCTGGGGAGTTTTTCGGCGGGAGTGTTTTGTTTCAATACCATGTTTCAGGCTCCTCCCTTGGATGTCACTGCTATTCAGGAAGTGTTCTTTCAGCAGTGGTTTTGAACGTTTGTACTGTCTGATTTCTGACAGCCAGCTCACTGGACTCTTGTGTTCATTACAAATGTTTACTTGGGAGATTTGGGTTGCCTGTCTGATTCTCACCAAACAGATTTCCTTTGAATAAGGATTAGATTTGTCTTTTGTTACTGTAACAAAAATTCCAACTGTTATGAGAAAATTGTCAAGTGCTGTAATGAGCGTTACTTGTTCCTGTGTTGATTGCACCTGAAGAGTGTGTTAAGCTCTGATGGGCTAAACCTGCTGAGGAAGTAGTCTTGAGTCCAGCAGGAACTTCAGGCACAGTGCCTAGAGAACAGGGCTGCACTGCTCAAGGCTGCATGCAGGGGAGCTCCGTACAGCTGTGTTCACACCTGGGGGAGCTCATGTTTGCATGAAGTTCTGGGAAGGCTCCTCAGCTCTGTATGGAGGGAAAAACACTTAAGGTGCAATACTGGGCACTAGCACAGGTCCTTGGGAAGCACAGTATGGGAACAGCAGTGCCTCTTTGCAAGAGACAGCTTGGGCTCAGCTAAACATTAGCAAGTGCTCAGCATGCGTACATGACCACAGAACTTGCATGCATCACCCTTACTAGACAGAGCTGTGATTAAGACCGCTGGAGCCCCACCTAAAAATGAGCCTTTTGGCTTTTTCAGTGTAGCGATTTGCCACCATATAAATAAGCCTCTAGGTGGCAGGGTGACTCTGATGCAGAAAACACAAGCTGGTCTGGCTGGGAGCTGTTGGCTGCGGAAGAGTGACCCCGGACAAAGGAGCAGAAGGGTGTCAGGAAGCTGTTTTGATAAGAGATTTATTTCCCTGGCATTTTTCACTTTTGTGACTGGGTATTTACAGTGTACATAACTTAAAATAACAAATGAGAAAACAAGGTTGATGTGAATGGGAAGTAAATTTGTTCTTAAACTAACAACTGGAATCCACTCAAATGAGGTAAATACTCTCCTTGTATTGAACTTGGCTTATACAGGTCTAGTGTAGTGCTCTTTCAGTATACCAGTGCATGTAGGTTCTTCTTGACTTCTAATGCTTTTTTTTTTTTTTAATGTAAAAACAAACAAAAAACCACAATATTTTAGTGCTTGCAAAAGTTGCCAGCTTGGTCATTCCGGAGAACTGATTCCCCTTCTTTTTTTCAACATAGCACAAGAATTAAACATTTTCTCATATCTTACCAAAATGTCTCTTTTCAAGTTCCTTCCAGACGACCAGGAACTAAATAAACATCCCCAGCAGCTGTAAGCAAAAGCTCTGGGTTACTGCTTAGTGTTTGAACTTCTAGATTGAGATCAGAAGGCTTCAGACTCATGTAAAAATGTCCTCCGAGATGGTAATGTGTGGTACCAATGCTTTCTTGAGCTGCATGTTTAAATCCAGTTACTGAAATCAGTACCAAGAAGCCTTATGTAACTTCTTTAAATGCTGATGTTCTTGATAAAGTGTGGAAGAGTCACATGTTTGATTTTGAAACTGTAACATGGTGATGTTTTTAAAATCAGGCTTCAGGCTAACTAGTCATCTTCTGTTGATGTACGCAGGTAATAGTGATGGGAGCCACCAACCGTCCTCAGGATCTTGACTCTGCTATCATGAGAAGAATGCCAACCCGGTTTCACATCAACCAACCTGTAAGTCATGCTATCTTTGCTTAAGCAGTGAGTCTGGTGGCTGAGCAACAGGCAGGTATTTTATCAGCCACAAAATGGCTTTATCAGCACAAAATCCCATCTGGGAATTTTTTTTTTCCCAAAGAAATAAAGATGGGGTATTATGTTGATCAGTTTTTAGTCTCATGGAAGTACACAGAACTTTGCTTTTAGAGGTGGGGTTTCCCACAGAAACTTGATTCCTTGATTCTTTTATCTGAAATAACTTTAAGTGTCCTGAGCACTTCCAACCCATTTTTCTGTCTACAAAAGTCAAGTGGCTTAGATGCCGCACTCTGAAACAGACATCAGTCCATCTTCCCTTGCTGAGAGATAAATAAGTATGAAATAAACTATTCTTGTAAGTTTTTGTGTAGCTAAAGGAAGTCCTTGGCATAGGACTAGGGTGTGTCCTTTGTCAGCGCACAGCAGTTAGTACTCGATACTCTCTCTGGGTGCTAGCAGTACTATGTTGTTTTCCAGTGCAGCTTTGCTATTGAAGTTTTGTCTTTCAGAATGCACCAGATGTCTCCATTAGCTGTCGTCTTTGTAGTGCAAGGAAACCCAGGTAGCTGAATTCCATGAGGGAATATTGGGCAGATACAGGAAGGGTACAAACCAAAAGGTGCATTGTCTGCTTAAGGAGCAATTCTGGAGAAGCATCTTAGAAAATAGCATACTAAACAGAGAATTTTAACATTTGTGGCACTGAGATGAAGGGCAGCTCATTTCATGGGCTGCGTGGCTATTTTAGTGCTTTGGAGTTCCCCTTCCCCACCAGTACAAGCTACTTGCCTACAAGGTAGAGTGACAGCCAGGTCAGAGGGCACCAAGAAACAGGTACATTTTGACTACTGTTTATAATTTCTGGGTATGAGATACTTAGTTTTCAAGAAGAAGAGAAGCAAGAAGGAAATCTGCATACCAAAAGCTCCATTCTGCTTAAGCCTTTCCACAGCTGGATATAGCAAGCAATCTGGAAAACTGTTTTTATTCCCCTTACAATTTATGACAAATGGGCAGTAAGGCAGGCCTGTATCACTTATGCCAGCTGTCACAATCTTACCCTTACTATTTTTTGCTATTGCCATCATTTTCAAGGTATTTGAGTAGCCTTTGAACACGTAACAAGACATTTTTGTATCAATACTGGAAAAAGATTGATTGTGGTTGTCAGTATACCCTTCTGGCTACAGAAATACCCTTAATTATTAATTTTTTGCAGAAACCTAGAGACTGGATTTAAACTCTCATTGATTGTGCAAGAGAGTAGTCATGTTCCCAGACCTGTCTTGTTTGCACAGGCTTTCACTCCTTGTGGGTGGATACTTCTTGAAACAAAGCATTTGTAGCACACTAACTACCTTTATTGTGATGTCTGTTCGGAGGGTTTCAAACACCTTACTCATCTTCAGTTTTTCTTTGAATTAGTAAGAGGCATGGATGTGTATTTTAGTACTTTGCCACATCTTTTTATCAAGAGTCATTATTAGAAGGATGAATTTTCTGCAGGTAACTGTGCCTCAGAATATTACCATGGAGGCCGGTTTCCTCTCTGAGGTCTAGAATTAAAATCGGAAGTGTCGTTAGGGCACAGGCATGGAACTTTCCTTACCCTGCTACAACCACCTCATGCACTTACTGCTCACCTCTTGTTCTTGTCTGTGGTACTTCGTGATACGGCCAAGATTGGTTACAACTCTTTTATCAAGGACCAAGATAACTTACGTGCAGTGGATTGACAGTGTGCACAGGTAGTATTATTATGGAGTACCTAACACCTTATAGATAATATGTTGCAGTTTAACCAGGTTTGGGATGAAAATGCCCCAAATTGCCCATAAAGAATTATCTGCAAGGCAGAGGGAAATGGAAGAAATATTTCTGAGACCGAATGTCATCTGGTCAGATGCAGACTGTCTATGGAATTAGTTTATTGGTTTTGTTTGGTTGGTTTTGTTTGTGTTTTAACAATGAAAGTGAATTTTGGACAAGTTTGTTTTTAGGAGATGCAAGAAAGTTTATTCGCTGCCTTTTGTTTTTCCTTGTTAGTAAGGCTATGCTTAGCCATTTCTTTCAAGATCATTATGGTATGTGATTTATATTGCTTAAACTTCCCAAGCATGATCTGTAGAATTAAATTTATTATTGTGTTTTTGCTTTTTTAAATATAGGAGTTTATCCTCTTGATCTGATTTAGCAAAGTATGTATTGAAAGCATCCTCTAGATCTAGAGAGTCTGCCCTTTGTTAAAGATTATGGGAAATCCTCAGAGACAGATGCTTTTATTTAAGGCAAAGTAAGACTAAACATATCACTGCATTTTCTCTTTCCATATAGTTACTATAAATGTATATGCTCAAATGTTTAATTGTATGTACTCCCAGAGTGAGAGTACCCTAGATCTGTTTTTGCCTCGTGGTGTGCCTAATTACTGTCACATAGGTTTACTTAGTTGTATCGTGTCTCCCATTTGAAGGAATGTTTTTTGTCATGGAAATTTAACTGCAAGCACACTTGGAACAAATTTGGTATCCTACTTATGTGTATTTTTGTTCTCTAGTAAGTTTTGTCTCTTTTGTTTAAGGCTCTGAAACAACGAGAAGCAATCTTGAAGCTAATTTTGAAAAATGAAAATGTAAGTAGACTTCTTTTAATGGTTAATTTGCTGAATTACTGTTCTCATGAGTGCAGGCTCTGGAGTTGTTTTATAATTGGCTGTTCTGTAGTAAGGTAGAGATGACCTACCAGAGTATTTCTGATTATAACTTAAGAATCTTCTGTGGTTTTAGGCGTGGTGTAAGATTAAAGCAATAGAGTTGTCTACTGGTTTAAGTATGAGCTTCATTCAGAGCAGTAGTCTCGGATTTCTTGGTGAATCACCCACCATCTCTGAGGAAAATTATGTAATTTCTCTGTCTCCATTTTCTTGTCATATAACAAGATAATATATTCATCTCCCTGAAGGTGAATCATGTTTGAAAATTGCTTTGACCAATAAAAGAAATATCATGAAGTATTCACCCAGGAAGATACTGAATTTCTTGAGCTGTAGTCTGTTTGCGCTAATTAAGAAAGGAGGAGTTACTACTTTTTTTTTTTTTTTTACAGTGCTGCTTTTTCGACTTTCATTCATAGTTCATACTTTCTTTAGAGGAAAACTACTATGGATGTTTTTACAAATAATATATGGTGTTCATATCACCATGTGGGTTACAGAATGAGGAGAACAGTAGCTGTGAGTGCATCGGAAGCATCTGCTGGCAGGATACAGGACCATTACTACTAGAGGTTCCTGCCACTGAAGTCTTACAGAATTTAGTCTGTAGCACAAATTCTCATTAGGTTAATTTTGCAAGGTGTCTGTTGATTGAGGTCCATCCTAATAAATGCCATTCATTAGTAAAAACAAGTGTTTTTGTTTTTTTTTTTCAGAGGTTTAAAAATCATACCTCATCATTGTGAATGGCAGATACTGAGGATTTTTTTTTTCAAGTGGTCATTTTGGATTTTTTATATAGCATTGGAATATTTGCTTCTTGCAAAATACTATACGCATATGAAAACAGAACACATGCTAAATGCCAAAGAAGTTGTGGAGGAAAAGATGACCGATTTGCAGAAAGCTTCAAACAAATTAAAACTTCTATTGGAAATTGTGGTTCCAAATTGTTACTTGTTTTCAAGAGTTGTTAGGAAAGGTGTGCGAAATAACAGACCTGTATGTGGGTTCCTGAAATAACTGCAGCCAGCCTTTGCATGTGAATGGAGTGTGTTGTTCCTTTGCTTTGTCAATGAAACACCTTGGCCTTATGGCCATGAAGAGAAACCTAAATCATCTTCTGAACGTGGACTTGAAAGAATGTAAAGCATACCAGTCATCTGGCAGTGAATCACAGCTACACAAGTAACAGTTGCTGGGGCTGCATGGAATCAGACTTCAGTGGTTATCCCGTAGGAAGGGGAATTAGGTCTCTCAAGCCCAGTTTATTTCTAGCCACGGTAGCCAACTTTCTGGAAGCCCTTGAAAAGAGGGGTTGAAAAAAACAGTGGGCATGGTGGGTGTAGGCATACCCACTGTTTTTTCTGCCTGTCTTGAAGTCTTGTTTCTTCTCCCTGAGTTGAAGGGAAATCCTTGTTAATGCCTGCCACACAATGTGCACGTTTTCTGGTTGTTCTTAACCAGGTACACTGCTGCATCCCTTTCTTGATGGCCGTCAGCCCCAGGCTGGGCAGCTCCATAGCTGACCATTGCTGGCTTCTCAGTGTTTGTGCGCAGGATGATGCTTTAGAGCAAAGCACTGAGACAGCCAAGCTGTAGTGATTGTAGGAGGCACCTTGGTGTAAAACAGCTGCTGCTTCTGCCTTCACTTCCACATTTGGGGAGGCAGATGGCTGGCTCCAGACCCAAACCTGAGTTGTAAGTCAGGGAACAGTGACTTAAGTATGAGCTCAGGGGTTGAGCAAGTAGGACAGAATCACTGTAATCTTTGTCCTTCAAGAAAAGCGGGAGGGATGGTGGGGCTTGGAAGAGTGCTTGGTGGGTGTCAGCACATTCTTGCATTATCCTGCAGAGCCCACAGGTTGGACTGGTGACGGGAAAATAACAATAGTTATGCCTGGGGCTTTGCCTTTATCACCAGTTAGCCAATTCCATGGAAGAGTTTCCCTCTTAGAAGAAGTTGCGCCTTAATTTCAGCCTTTTGGTTAGACTGTGTTGGCTTTAACTTCTTGAAAAGGAAATGTGGGGGCACTAGAAAATATGCTGGAAGGAGCTTGTGTAAACTGGATAAATAAATAAAAGGTCTTGACTGTAACAAGTTCAGTCCAATGCAGCGCATGGAATTAGACGTGTTATTTTGCCTCAAGGTTCCATCTTTCATGGTTGTATAAAACAGGAGCAGTTGTTCAGTAACACACACAGACAGAAAAAAAAAAAAAAAAAAGCAGAGCTGTTGTAGGAAACTTGTGTGAGCATTTGGGAAACTGGGTCATTATCCCTGTCATCCTGTTTTGTCATCTAACAGGCTTCCAAAGCTGCACGGGAACTTCATCAGTAATAGAATATACCAATGTGATGGTTTGCTTTCAATTACCTGTTCCTTTCTATACGTTAGGGTTTTATTAGATGAAACATTAGTTTAATTTAATGATGTGAACTACTTGGAGGATTCAAGGCATAACTTAATCAAATAATTTTCTTTTTAGTTCCCAAAAAGCAAGATTGGGGAAGAAAACCCTTAGGACAAGTAAAAATACTTAGAGGTGATTATATCTTGTGCTTGTAGAACAAAGTATATGACTTCGGAGTTTTCAAGCTGTTACCTTTTGGTTTTGGACAGGTGGACAGGCATGTAGATCTCCTAGAAGTTGCTAAAGAGACTGATGGCTTCTCAGGAAGTGATCTGAAAGAAATGTGCCGGGATGCAGCACTCCTCTGTGTCAGGGAATACGTTAATTCTGCATGTGAAGAAGACAAGTATGTGCCTTTCTTCTCTAATACAATAGCTGAATAGCAATTGTGAAGACTTCTGGTGCTACACGCTGTTCAAATATTAGAATTTGTTTCCTAATTTAAATTGCAAATTTAGAGGGTTTTTTTAAACCTTGCAATGATTCACAGAAAGCACGAGGTACTCTCTTGACAAACTGCCACTATACAACCATAAGATCAACAAATAAGTTACCTTTATTCACTTTGACTATGAAAATAAGACTATTTGTTCCAAGGTGTTAAGCTTGAGGTTGCATGAACCAACAAGAGTTAATATTATTGCATTATATTACCAGCCTTAAATGATGATAACACTCTTGCATGCATGTTAACTTTACTTGCTGTGATCTTTCTTTGATTATCTCCCGTACTTGCAGGTAGACTATATGCACAGATAGAAGCATGTTTCCAGTGTAATGTTGGATCTGTGTCAAATTACTATTTTCAAGAACTAAAGTTGTCATTGTAGGAATAGGTGTCATGCATCACCTAAACCGTTGTTTTGCTTTCTTTCTTTCATTCTTCTGAAGCCATGATGAAGACGAAATTCGGCCTGTGCAGCAGCAGGATCTCCACAGGGCGATAGAGAAGATGAGAAAATCAAAGGATGCCACACTTCAGAATGTTTTGATGCATGTTAGTTTAGATTAAGACTAAAGAGTGTGTTTGCAGTTTCTGATGTGATTTAGTTTATATTCTGTAATCAACAAAAACAATGTAAGGGGGTGGGAGTGGGGTTGTTCCCTGAAAAAGGGAGTTCTCTTTCTGGAATTGTTTTTATACAACAAATTCTAAGTTATTGCAATGTTGTCATGCACAACTGAAAACGTAATAATAGATCATGAAGTGGAACAATTATAGCTCAGACCAAGAGCAGCTGCCTGTGTCTTGTCCCATAATCGATACACTGTGTAGCCTTAAAGCAGGTTCTGATATGGTGCATGGGTTCACTGGGTTACCTGTGTGGAGGGAAGATGATTTATTACCAGTAGGTGTATATACGTATGAGTGTGTGTGTATGTATTAAATGTATATATTCACACATTTTTTTTATATGTAGACATAACCTGTAGATAACGAGTATGGAAAATCTTTTCTACTTCCTGAGTCGAACCAAATCAGAAGATGTATAGATTAAAAATTCATCGATACTCAATACACATTTACTTCTTCCTTGTGCCAGCAAATAATGAAGGTAGAAATTTTGCTTCTAGGCAAAATTTGAAATGTTACTATTTTTTTTCTCACGTTACCACTTGAAATCTGGTACCATTTACTAAAGATGGTAAACTACTGTACAAATGTTTGAATACTTTTAATTTTGTATGAATCCTGCTTTTTGAGGCATTTTAATGCTGTTTTTATTTTTTATTTTTCCCTCTGATGTGAGTAGAGTAGAATCTTCTTAACTGGTCTCTCATTAAGTCCCACATATTATAAACTTTATGAAATTGTGCTTTTTGGTTTGTTATTTGTTGTAATGAGGGTTTGCTGCTATTTAATTTTCTCTGGAAGACCCACTGCTGCACGGTGGCATTGTACCATGAAGATTTGTACACATACTTTGATTAGGGTGAGGGGAGATGTTTTCTGATGTTTTGCTCTGTCACATATGTGCTCTGATGTGCAAAACTGAAGGCAATGAAGAATGGATTTCAGGTTTATAAATGTGATTTAGAAATGTTCTGCTGTACTTGCTGGTAACAGTTCAGTAAATTCATGTAACATTATGTAGTGATAAAGGCAAAGCGTTTAAAAAAAGAAGTGGCAAAGTGTTTTGGTAAAGTTATTGTCAGTAGGTTTTAAATAATTTAATTTTCTCCTTATAATGTTGTGCCCAAATTTAATGCAAATATGTAATCATGATTGTTCAACCCAAGGGCAAGGTACACTGTGTCACAGCTCTGCTAGCTACAGAGGAAAGGTAAGCCCTGAAAGCAAGATAGTGATGTAAAACGAAACAATCTGCAAAGTAAAATAAAGACTTGGAGCCAGCTGGCATACGGTATCAGGTGCTGATGGCGGTTTCCATTAAGCTTAGAGCTGCAGCAGCCCTACCCAACTGAGTGCCTTTGCTTCACGTACTGGTTGTGTAATGCTCCAGATGCAGTAGGTTTCGTTTGACCTGATTTAATCTCCTTGTCTTTTTTTTTTTTTTTAAATAATTTACTTTGTTTTTTCATGTGGCAGGGGAAATATGGGAAATGCATAGTGGTGTAAAACAAGACATAGGAAATTAGGCATAGCAGAACATAGTGGAATATGGATATCAAAAAGTGGGGTACGGAATGCTGATCGCCCAAGTTGTTCTGGTTTCAGGGCTGGAATGAGTGCTATAAGCACCACTGCAGGTGCTAACCTGCACTTCTTCACCAGGGAAGGGGGGAGGTGGTTTATTCTGCAGGGAAACTGCTAAAAAAAGTAGCAAGAACATGGAAGCTCCAAGAGGCCAGGAGCCACAATCAGCAAAGGCCACTTGCAGTGGGGAAGGGTGAAGGTGCAGCAGTACTTGTAGTCAGCTCCTTCCAGGACACATTTCCCCATTGCACTGGCTGTGAATGAGAGGAAATTGCTGCTGCTGCTGCTCCTCTTGCCTTTGTATTAAATGATGCGCCTTAAGGCTACCTCTTCAGTGCTAGCTGGGGAACACTGACTGAGTTCAAGGACTAGCTTTAAGCCAAACACCCAAGTAGTGCAGCTTAATGGAATTTGCTTTCTCAGCAGGTTTAAATTAGGCACTCACCAGATGTGGTGCTCTGCCTACAGTGCAGTAAAGCAGTGGCTGTTTTTCCTGTGCCCATCGTGACTTGCAGGTTGTTGCAGGTGGATGAGATAATGCAGCTCCTAAGCTGCCTCTCCGTCCTTTTTCAGGGTGCTTGCTGCTTGGTACAGTACATCCTAGTATTTTTTAGATTAGTTGTAAAATGCAAGGTTAAATGTCAATTAAGTGTGCATGGGAAGAAGAAGAAAAGCATGTCTGCAGGTGGCAAGGGCATCTGGTACCCAGCTCAGCTCTGCTTTCTTTCTGTGTTTCTACAAGAATCTGCCTGTTTGCATGCCAGCTGCAGCTTGCCTTTACCTCCTGCCTATAATACATTGCTGCCTGCTTATGAGGCAGGGTGCAGGAGACATACAGGGCAATTTGCAGTGGTCCCCGAGGACAGCTGCAGCTGGAGCGTAGTTTTTTTCACTTTTTGAAGGACTCTTCCATCCTTGCAACAGCTTTGTCAAACCAAGACCTTCCCCGCAGCTTGCTGGAAGAGGCTGAGGAAGCTGCAAGAGCTTAGCCACCACCTCCTTCAGCTTTGCATCTCCAACTGCCTCTGCTGCACCCAAACCCTGCACTCTGCAGCACAGGCTGGGGGGGGCTGACCCAGCACCACACTCTGAGTTGGAACAGGGTTTGGTGTGGAAAGGGCCCTTCCTGGGGAGCAGCGACTGGATCCTGTGGCTGGAAGAGGCACAGACTTTCCCAGCAGGCAAATCATTTATTTAGACCTGCTCCGTCACTGGTAGACAGCAAGTGCAGCACAGTGTCCTCTGACTGTAAAGAGGCTGATCTTGGCAGTCCGACACGACTTGGAGAGTAATCTTTGAAGCAGTCTTAAATATTTGGTAAATAAATGCACTCTTTGCACTTGGGTTTTGTTGCTCTGGTTCTGTAACCTTTGCATGTACTACATGTATGTCTACGTTTCAAGGCTGTAAATACAGCCTTTTATTTTAAAATTTTATTTATAAAAAAGCACCTGGTTTGGACATGAGAAACCTCTGGGAGCTGTGGGATGCAGTAGCCAGCTGCTGTGGGGCTGCAGTACAGTGCTGCTCCAGCATGGCTCCAGGTGTGGGTGTAGCAGCAGATAGTGCATGCCTTACATGTGTGTTAAATTTGCCTTGTTTGACATACTCTAAGCCAGACAGGAATAAAAAAATAAATAAAAAAGATAAGGTTTATGAAAGAAAATAAGCTATGTGGTCAGCCTCGTGGCTGCTGGCTATGCAAAGGTGGTGTGGATGGTGCCCCCACACTGCTATGGACCTGTAACTAGCCACAGGTGAACCACATGGTTGTGGTTTCCCCTCCCCCTTCAAAAAATAATTACAAGGCAAGCATTACTTACTTGTATAAATATTTATTTGTACTAAAAGTGAGTGTTTCATAGTAGAGTATGAAGTTCAGAATATATTAAATCATAAGATGCATCAGTTGAGGTACAAATTCCAGTCTCATGTCTTTAATAAATACACTATAAAAAACTAGTCTGCATACTCTATTTTAATCAGAGGTAATCAGTATACTAAGCTATTTTAAAAGAATAATACAGCATTTGTGTTTTGCTATAACCATTTGGATTTACTGCATTTTTTTTGAACTGATTATTTTAGAATGTTTTAGAATGAGGCAACAGCACTATTTCACTACTTAAAAAATGGCAAATATTGCAATTATAAATTGGAGTATTGCTTTTGTTTTCCAGGTCCCTGCCAGAGGGCCTGAGTAGGAAAGGCACTGGTGCTAGCATGCTGAAAGGCTACTAACATGGTTGGTGCAGCATTTTTCTGAGGTATAATATGGCTTTGTGTTCTTCCCTTTGAATAATTAAAAAAAATAAAAAATAAAAAAAAACACCTCTTACAAAAACATTCCCAATTGCATATGTAGTCTTAGACACTGCATCATGGCCACACCAAAACACGTTTGAGCTGGAGGTGCCACTTGCTATACTAAGTGCCACTTGCTATACAAGCAGAAGCAGGATTGTTTTTACTGAGCGTAGATACATTTGTAATTAAAACAAGCACTAAGGAGAGGAGAACATTATTTCCATTTCATTTGAAACACATGCTGACTGGTGCTGGGACATCTACTGAAAAAGGACAAGTACAAAAGTCAGGAAATCTGGTGGCTGTGGTAACTAACAAGTGCAGTGGCCCCTGACTATTCCATACCATTCCCCTGTGTTCCAGAGCTTTCTCGAAGATCTCTTGTGCTCCACAACATCCCCCTAAGGATAGCTTCCCCTGGCTGCCAGCCCACCAGACCCTGAGCCCAGGCAGCACCCTCTGCAGCCTCGCTGGGGTTGGGCACGCTGCAGACTCATGGGGCAGTGAGCTCAGAGCAGCAGCAAAGACCAGTCCAGGTTTGTTTGTTGTTTTTTGTTTTTTTTTCTGACTGAATGGGTCAAGCAGGAAGAAGAAAGGAAGAACAGCAAGCAAGTGACTTGTCTAGGCTATTTAAAAAGATACAGTTAAAAAAGGCACTTAAAAAGTCCTTCTGTTAGCAAAAATTGTCTAAGGCTCAATCTGGATCCAAGCAACTGGAGCAACTGGATCCAAGCACCAAGTGCCAGCAGCAACCACTTCTCGCCCCAGCAGCTGCTCCTGCACTGGGCGAGGGGTAAAGGAAAAACACTTCATCGTTCCTGCTTCATGCAGGGGCACATTTTTATTCTGGTGCCAAGGTCCTGGCTCTGCAGCAGGGACCAGAGCGCAGTGCCAGCAGCACCGAGAGCCCCAGCTGGTGTTGCACTGGGCTTCCCAGAGCTGCATTGTGCTGGGAGCAAAGGGCCGGCTGCCCGCTCCTTCCAGCTCCATCATCAGGGTGCTCCTGGCAGCTTCAAGGGGAGAAGGCCCCAGCTCAAAGTATTTCCGATTAGTAAAAAACTCTCTGACCCAGGCAGGAAAGCCCTACGAGTCAAAATATTGAAAACATCAAGTAGCTGATCGGTATCATAGGGAATCAATCAATCATTGCTCACTCTTAATACAAGTATTTTTAGAAGTACTGTTAATTCTTTTTTTCCAGTGACTGGTAGTACTCGGTTAGGACTTTCCAAGCTTTGGGGGCCATGAAGCCATCTGGTGGGTTTTCACCTTCACGAGCAAGCTTTCTCATGCGTGTTCCTGAGATGAAGTCAAAATCGTCGTGCCTACAGCAAAACAGAGACAGAGGTGAGATCAGCACAACAGCTGAGCTGTCCCAGCGTAAATCTTCTGCTATGCCAAAGGTGCAGTCAGAAAGCTCCCAGGCACCATTTCCTCGCCAACTGCAGGCACCAGCAACTTCCCACATGGAGTTTACGATTGGCAGCAACGGTGTCCTCTACGGGAGTTCTTCCTATATGAGCTAGAGTCATAGGTAAAATGCTTCCCTAGCAGCTGTGTAGGCTAAAAAAAAAAAAAAAAAAAAAAAAAAAAAAAGAGACACTGGTGCCTGCATTACCTTTTGGGGTCATAGAAATCCATAGCCCTCTTCACTTTGTTGTAAGCAGCCACTCGGAAGGGGATGATTTCCACCGAGGTCAGGCCTGGTGCCATGCTGAGGACCTTCCCTCCTTGTGTAGGCTCGTAGAGGTCCTTCTTGGTCTCAGGGTGAGGCATGCCTGCAGGATCACGCCCTACAATGTAGAAGTTGGCCCCAGCAATCATGCGAGCCCGGCAGTGCCACTGTACCTGTGAAGGAGAGACATGAGGAGCTCTGAGCACTGAGCAGTGACTGCCCTAAACTGCAGAAAAGATCCTGGTGAGCTGGATCCCACACGTGACAGAGAAGGAAGGATGGACACGTATCAGTAGCCTCTCTGCAGTTAATCACTGGCCATCAGGCTCATCTTCCCCTGCTTGGACCTGGTACATCACAGCTCTTCTAAGGAGAGGTGTTTCACCAGAAAAAACGGGGATGACAACTGATCTTGTTCCAGTGAATGAAGGAGGTGCTTTGCTGTTTGAATGTGGCTGTCCATATATCCCACTGGTTCCACGAAAAGGCCTGCCTATAAGGTTTCTGCTTGCATCATTGCCTCTGCTCAGCTCGACTCCCTGCATTTCTTTCCTGCTTGCTTTGTGGTGGGACAAAAGCCATGCTAGACTCTCCAAGGCACCGAACGCACAGCTACCTGCAGCACCCACAGAGCCACTGCTGAAGGGTTCTGGCTGCACCTTAGCCCAGGAGCAGCTGATGCTGAATGGAGGCAATACTTTGGTTCAGGTTTTGGTTGTTGGTGAAACCAATAGGCAATGGGTGTTTGGGCTGTTTGCAGGGTGGTTTGGTGTCTACTGCTTTCCTTCCACAGATTTAGGGACAGAAGAGAAACAACTGGGAAAAACCAAATGAGCACTGCTGCCCAGCACAGCTCTGCTCCAAGCTCTCAGCACAACTCGCAGAAGCGCAGCAGCCTGCGGAGCCAAACACTGCTGCGAGATGGCAGCTGCAGCAAGCAGAGATTGAAGCAGGGAGGGAACTGAGAGCAAAGCAGCAGTGACTGACCTTTGCCCTGCGGCTTTCTGGATCTGCACTGGGAAGTCAGCAGCAAGTTTGCCCACAGGCTAAACTTACACCATGGTTAGTGTGCGGCAACTATACCTCTGTGGGGCCAGCGTAGAGCATGGGAGAGGGGAAGATGGCAACAATGGTTGATTTTGGGTCCAGAACATGCTCCTCGAGCACCGCTGCATGCTGCTTCATTCGCCATTCCAGCGGGACATCGTCATCTTTGGTCCATCCACCCAGGGGGTGCAGGAGAAGCACAGGGTTTTTGTAGCCCCTCTGCAAGAGCTGGCTCCGCGTATCCTGCATGAGCAGGGCATGCCCATTGTGCACGGGGTTGCGCAGCTGAAACGCAAAGACAGCATCTGAAATGGAAAGATTCAGAGCGTCACAGGCCTGCGCTGAGCTTCAGACACTGCTTCATTTATCCACTCTGTACATTTTGACACAGCCATAAGATACACAAGGGTCTGCTGTCCTATCTTCACATCAAAGAGACCTTAAATACCTTAGATGAGTATTTAACGCAGGTACAGTGACCCTGCCAAGTTTATTTTCATTGCACATCCTTCCTTTGGGACCAATTTCAGTTTGATCAGCTCTCCTATCATGTTTTGAGATGCCTCTGGGCACAAATGTAAACCTCTGCTGAGTTCCCTGGCTTCGAAAGCTATTTGTCACCTCCCCAAGCTCTATAGCACCTTCATGAAGGCCAGCACTATCTCCCTCTTTAAACACCAAAAGGAAATGAGTGTGCAAGGACTGGCATCTCCACTGCTAATGGTCACTGCTGCTGCTGGTCCCCTCTGCTGCTGGGATGCTGTAGCACTGCACAGCATAGCAGGTGAGTGTTGGAAGGGTTACTTCACACTTACTGTGCAAAACTTAATTAGTCCTAATGTGTTGATCTTGCAGGAACACTACAAAGGCCTTGTCTCTGGTGGCAGAGGTGAGAACTGAGCCAGGCAGAAATGCCAGTTGTAACAGGAGATTTATGGGGTCAAATTACATAGACTGACTTACAGACTGAGCTCTTCAGATTGGGCTGCTCCTTTTGAAACCTTGTTTTGCAGAAGTGCCCCTTAGCCCATACTAGGGCTGTTTCCACAGACACCTCTGGTGCTCAGAAACAGGAGTTCATGAGAACACAATTGACTGATGGGTGTAAATTACTTATGGGTATAAACAACCTCTCAGCCTGCTCCCTAAGGACTTGCCAGACTGAAGGCAAGTCCTGCTTAGAAACCCTTCTCTGGAAATACTGAGACAATACAGCATTGGGTGGCCATCGAATGCCCCACAGACTGCCAAGACAGCCCCCGGGGTAGAGCACCACCTGCAAGTAACCAGAACTCGCCTTTGTGCCTGAAGGCCAGGCACTCAGCACAGGACCTTACATGCTCTGGGTGTGGAAGAAGAGGACCTGGCCTGCCAGGAAGGACAGAGGAGTTGTGAGCAGCATGCTCAGCACTCTCCAATCCTGTGTCTGGAAAAGCCCACTGGGGAAGCTGCCTGACACAAGTACTGCTCCTACCCTTGGAGTAACTCTGTGCAGTGTAAACCCTACACTGTTTTTGTGCTGTGGCCTGCTTTGCACTTACTGCTCTCCCCACTGCTCCATCCCAGTCTCAGAAGCATATGAAAGCAATCTGGCAGGTGCTGAAAGGCCGGGAGCGAGCAATCACAGACCACAAACATCTCCTAGTGTCAGGAAAGATGGGGGGAGGGCACACACTTGAGAGGCTCATGAATTAGTGAGCCAGCTGGAAAGCTAGTAGGGCAAGCTCCCCAGTCCACCTGACAAGTCTGTAGTGTATCACAGGGATCTAATGATACAGCATGAATTAGCCAGTTACCCATTAACCAGTTAACCCATTGGCATTTACCCATTAACCAATTAACCTCATGCAAAATAATGGCACTAATGATAAGATTTCTTGGTAAGAAGAGCAGAGTCATTGGTGCTAGCCCAAGGCACTCAACTCACCAGCATTCATTTCTCTGAACTTCTGCTTGAGATCGAGTGGTGTCAGCCGGTACTGGTCCAGTCCGTCATTCCATTTGATTTTCTCCAGCACAAGGAGCTCTCCACCAACCAGCCAGTCTCCACTCTCCATCACCATCTGTGAATTACACACAGGTTACATCAGAACAGAAAAAAATCTCTCATTTCCCAGCCTCCTTTGAAAAGCACTAGGTATGATTCTGCTTGTGGAGTGATCTTTCTTTCTTTTCGACCTTGCAGGTTGAAAACATTACCAAAGTGGCAATGTGATCTGAATGTCATGAGCAGTGCAGTGACATAAACCAAGGCATCAGCCGCAAAGACCATACCGCTGCACCCAGCTAGGTGCCAGACTTCTCTCTGCAGGCTGGAGGTCAAGAAGTTAGGGCACTAGATCTTCCTCCATCTGAGCTTTTGCTCTTGCAAAGTCTTTCCACAGAACAAACAGTGCTCTGGTGGTGGTAACACCACCGTGTTGCCCACCTTTTGTTCCCTCCTATGCTGGAAATGTTATTATCCTCCTGGAGCGCTGCCTGGGGAGTATGCAGCCCCATGATTTGTTGAACCCTCCTCTGGCTGTAATAATGAGACTTCCAACTCCATTCAGAATAACCTAGTGCCATTACCCTGCATTGACCAGCTCAGGATCTCACAAGTCTTTATATGAAATCTCTACATTGGCATTACTGTACTGTCACAGCTGTTTTCTTCACTGTCGATGGTATCATTAAACTTTCATAACTAAGATTGCTCTGTCAAGAGAGCAACTGCTACTAAATAATTGAGAGAAGTATTTTAAGGTAAGGGGAAAGAATTAGTAGCTTTGCCTTTTTAGTTCAAGCTGCTTGGCATAGCTTGCAGCTCTCCCTTACTAAGAGATGATATTCTTTGTATGGCCAGCAAAGAGAAGGAAAAAGATAAGGCGTAAAAATACAACCCCTTTGTTGGCTGCCTGCACGAAAGCTACATTGAGGAGTAAAGCATAGCTAAAAAGGAGCACGAGCCAGGGATTTGCAGCGTCAATATTTGGCAGAATCACTGACATCATCATGCCCTCAAGAGCAGGAAAACCTAAGGAAAATCTAAGTTGCTAAGCATGTTAAAAACATTTGGATGTTGGTACACTTGTGAAAATAAATGAATGAGAGGAGCAGTACGCTTGTTTTCCCTTTCTACCATTTGTTATCTGACTGATGCTCTTGCAAAGCAGCAAGTGCAGGGTTAACAGTTGCTTGTAAGCCTGAAAATTCAGTCCTCCTGCACGCTTGAGAAGTGATGGTTCTCAATGAGGAGCGGGGCTTGGAGAGCTGACAGGACACCCAACACCATGGAAACCTCAGAGGAGTTTGGTTCTCCAGCCCCCCGTGGCACATTGCTAATCCTGGCCAGGTTTTTGACAATAGGAGGGACAGGGACAAACCTACTTTGACATGTGGGTGCTTGGCACAGGTGGTGCCCCAGATGCGGGCACAGCGCTCCTCCTTCCTGTGCTCAAAGTACTCGGGGTTCTTCAGGATCGCCACCTTGCGCCCCTCGTAGCTGAGTGCCAGTGCTCCACAGCCCTCCAGCCGCTGCTTGTCCTCCGTGGAAACTGGCAGCACAATGGGGATGGTCAGGTTGATAACGCCGTCTGGCAAGAGAAGGGTGGATGTTAGCATCCTCCAAAGACCTAGAGCACCAGCACTGCTCAAAGTGTCCCCACACTACTTCAGATGGACTACAGGAGGGGGATGGGAGAGGCTGGAGGGGGCACTGAGTAAACAGAGGTTTTCAGAGGCTGAAAACAGGAAGCCAGGTTTTCCACGATTAGTTCACCATCAGTCATGTGAATTTATTCACTATCCAATTTTTGTTTTGTGCTGCTAATGAATACTAATGTTAGTGGACTAAAAAAGCTCCTTATCTTAGTGCCAGCAATGTCTCAAAGACACCTGGAATATTTATTTATTTTCTGGACTCTTTCTCTCCCAGGAAGATTTTTCTTTTTCAGTTGGCTTGTTTTGAAGTCTCTTTGAAAAATTTAGACATACATGATACATACGGTCTGGCTATAACCCGTCTCCTCTTCCAGGACAAAATCTCCATTAAGACCACTCCAGCGTGGTTTTGCCTGGTGGCATCTCTCACAACCGTGAAAAATCACTGCACTGCCCTATTTGCACGTCTCTTGAATCAACTCTTCCAACAGGGAAAACATCATAATGTTCTGTCTTTTTTTTTTTCCTTGTTGTCTCTGTACTGTTACCCCTCTTAGTTTATCTTTGCAGTCCATTTTTGATCTATTCTTTGTATATACAGTGAATCTATGTTTGCATGTGTGGTTTCTAATCTCTGTGTTGTCTCTAAATGCCTTGAAGTTGATTTTATCCTCCCCCCCCTTCTCACTTCCCCACTAAGGTCTTGCCACTCAGATATGCCAGTATTAATACATAAGAAGCCATCTTTCCCATGGGCTGCCATTCATAAACAAGAGCAAATAAATCACTGATTCACTTTGTTCTGATCTGACTGAAATCATTTTGGACCCTTGAGAGTCTTAATTCGAGGATTTTGCCTATGATGTAGATTTTGTTTAATCTTTATTAAAATTTTCCATTTAATTCATGACTTGGTATCGTCTGCCAGACAGAAATTTTCAAGCAACTTCATGAATAATCAGATACCTGTAACCAGTCACATGTGAATCAATCAGTATCAACTTTATATATTTAAGAAATATTAACCAGTGATCAGTCAATAAAGTCAACGTGGAAAAGTCAGCATGGCATTTTCAAATAAAAAATCACTCCAGTGAAAATTACTAGGATTTTTGTGCAGAGTGGTCAATAGGACATGGGGTATACATGCCATTTTGTAAACAGCGGAATCATAAATGGGATGTGGGTGTGTTAGTGTTAATAATTTAAATAGCAAAAAAATCTGAGCAAAAAATCTAATTGTAGTGATTTCCATATAACCTGAGGACAGTTAAATACATACCAGCTACAGAGGGATTCTTTCCTGGGAGAATACAAACACAATTAAGATAATTAACACTCACAGGCACCAGTTATGGTTTCCAGAATCAAAGCAGCTTGGTTGAAACCTCCAGCAAACACCGCGTGTCGGCGGGCAGGGCAGGGCAGCGCGCTCCCTCACAAACATGGCCTTTGCCAGCCAGCCCAACAGTGCTCATCCAGCCACACACACCCAAAGGGATGCGCAGCATCGGTGCTGTCTCTCCATCTATTTTTAACACCGCTCTTGTTCTATCAGTATGCCAATGTGGGATTTACTCCTCAGTGTGTGAAAAATGCCTGTTTGTCAACCACAAGAGAGGCGGACAGACTCATGCTGATGCTGGGCCACTGAACCAGATCACAGATGTCCCTCGCACAGCTTGCTCCTGCTGGGCTGCCTAAAACATCACCTACACCCCCTGGGTAAGAAAAACTGGGCCACAAACTTTAGAAAGACCGGCATGGAAGCTCTTGGGCAAGGCACGCCCAATCCCACCACCCACAGCCTCTGAGCAGCAGAGCTCTGGGGCAACACAGTCATTTTGGGGCACCTCTGGGACCTCGTCAAGTGTGCAAGGGGCAGCTTGAAGACCACAGCTCCAGGTCTGACAATAAAGGAAATGTACTTTTGAATGCTGTTTACACAGCGTTTAGGCTACTGAATGCCTGAAAGTTGAAGAACACTACAGATGCCCACATGCAGACACTGTTCCAGCCAACATGGCAGTCCTGAACTAAACCCTGTTTGCACTTGAGGTGCAGTGCCTGAATCCCAGTGCCAGCAGTAAATTACTGCCCTGCATGACCAAGGCAGGACCAGGGTCCTCTAGAAGGAGGACAAGACTCCCTACAATGAGTCCTTCACCAAGATCCCAAGCCCTGAGGCCAGAGAGCCATACTGGATCTACAGAACTCAACGCATGCACCCATTCACTGTGTGCATGGCAATGGCATCTCCATCTGAGACATGGGACACATGTATCAACTACCCCAAACTGCCTGAGCATTATTTGCCTCTTCTAGGGATGAAAAAACTCTTATTAAGTTGCTAATCAGTAGCTAAATCTGATTTATTTCAAGCTATAGTAATGGGGAAGGGGGAAAATAGGAAAAATGAAAGAGAAATCAGCCCCTGGCCCTGTTTCCAAGGATCAGCTACCCTCTCCTCTCATCTGAAATTCAGCCTGGCAGCCTTCCCTGGCAGAACCATGCAGGGTTAAGAGGTTTTATGTGTATATATATATATAATGGCAGCCAAGACCTTTGAACAGCATGATATGGGATTTCTAGTGTGTGACATGGGGCCCTGGCTACAGCACTGTGAACTCTGTCACCTTTTGTACTCTTTGGCACATTTCAGAGCACAGCTTCTCAGCTCCCGCACTCCTTTACGAGGGCTTGCATGTAGCACTTCAGAGGAAAGGGGGCTTAAAACACAGCTGAGCATCAAGCTGTTCCACATGAGTGCCTGCTAAAGCACCACAGTGCGAGTGTCAGGTCTCCCAAAGCGTAGGATTCGTACCGTTCAGCAGGGTGCCGAAATGGATCACTTGCAGGTACTCTGCCTCGCGCATGAAGCCCTTCAGTGGCGTGGCCCAGCCTTCACTCAGCACTTGCACCCACTGCAGATCCAGCTGCAAAACAAACCCAGAGGGCACTCCTGTCACCAGCTCTCACTGCTCTTCCTTTCCTTCTGCTGCAAGAGCAGTCTCACCATTTAGTGTAAAATGGAGAACATTCATTAAGGGGAAAAAAGTGGTATTAGGGGCCAATGTGATGATCGTTTTGTTTTGTTTTTTAAAGCTAGATCTGTATTCTTCCATAGCACAACCACGTGTGGGGCTGTCCTAATACTATCAATGAAGTTGATGGGCCCTGGCATGCTACAGGACAGAGCAGAGAGACACAACAGGATGAAGTGTCTGAGGATGAGGACTACACTTCATTTCGTCATAAAACATAGCCATGAAAGGACACAGCAATCTGAGGAATCACAAAATCAACACAAAAGTGATTAGAGGACTGGAACTCATCTCCTGTGAAGACAGGCTGAGGGAGCTGGTGTTGTTCAGCCTGGAGAAGAGAAGGCTCTGGGGTGACCATACAGTGGCCTTTAGTACCTAGAGGAGGCTACAGGAAAGCAGGGGAAGGACTCTTTGTCACAGGATGTGGTGATAGGACAAGAGGGAATGGCTTTAAGCTAAAAGAGGGTAGGTTTAAATTACATATAAGGAAGAAATTCTTCACTATGAAGGTGGTGAGGCACTGGCACAGGCTGCCCAGAGAAGCTGTGGCTGCCCCATCCCTGGAGGTGTTCAAGACCAGGTTGGATGGGGCTTTGGAGCAACCTGGTCTGATGAGAGGTGTCCCTGTGCATGGCAGGGTGTTGGAACTGGATGGGCTTTAAGGTCCCTTCCAACCAAACCAGTCTGCGATTCTATGAACAGAGCACCATTTAGCCACATCCTTGTCTATGCTTCTGCCCTTCAAAAAGCAAACCAATGACTGATTCATAGTGCAGCATTCAAATGAGATGTTACCTTCGTGATCTCTATGGATGGTAGCATGTCTGCTTCAGCTCGGACACTATCAAGTTTATTTTCGGGTACAAACAGCTCAAGAACATCCTTAATCGATGCGCGGGGCACAATGTTCTGAAAGAGAGAGAGAGACAGCACTCCTAACACTGCTTTTTAAACGCACACCAGTAAGTCAGTATGTGAAGTCAGATTTATGAGCTGCCAGTGGTAGTGGTAAAAACAAATGACCTACTTGTGTCTGCAGGAGCTCCACAACCTGCTGAATGCATTCAGACACTGATGCAACGTTTGTTTTCAACACTAGTTCAGGAGATTCAGGCTTCTCATAGTCTGAGTCAATCCCTGTGAATCCTATGGACAATTAAACCCAAACCAAATTTATTTAATGTAATACTCTAGAGTTAACACCACTATACAAACAACTAGCAAGCATTCAAGCTGTACTGAGTACTAGAAGTGTTGCTTGTTGTAGTAAGATTAGGAAAATACGATACCCTTGTGTACTACAAAGAGCCTTTACTAACCCACCTCCAGAGATCTTCTACGTGCAAAGCTGCAAAGATAAGCTATCTGACACTTTGTTAAGCAAAAGGCAAATTAAGAGCTCATTCTTGCATACCTTTGATCTCTCCAGCTCTTGCCTTTTTGTACAGTCCCTTTACATCTCTGCTTTCACAAATATTTAGAGGAGCATCTACAAAGATTTCGAAGAAAGGAAGCCCAGCTGCCTCATGAATTTTCCGTGCATTTTGACGATCCTGTTTCAAGAAAGTTGGGAAACCGTATGTGTCTGCATCGCAACAAATACTTTCCTACTAAATGACATTCCTTGGAATTTTACACAGGTAAAGTCATCTTTGGTACAGATTTATTAAATTTAAACCAATTCTAATTAAAGGTTTATATCTCTTTTCCCACTTTTTCTTTAAAGATACGTTAGAAGACCTCTTCATTAAGTGGGATAGCAGAACCTGATGATGTGAATCAGTCCTGTGTTTTAAAAAAAAAAAAAAAAAAGAAAAAAGGCAACTATTCAACAATTTAAATTAGCTTGATACTGGCAGATATTTGGCATTCTCAGGAAGGATAAAAACACAATCAAGCTTCTTCAAATAAAGTACTGATACCACTAAGACAGGCTATTTTTTATGCCTCTTTTCTGCCTCCTAACAAGTTAAGAGTAGGAGCTTTTATAATAAGATTTCAAAAATCACTTAACTTTTAACCAATTCTGAAAGCAAAAATGATACGTCCAGCAGCACTCCAGAAACTTCTACTGATCATTTATAGCTCTGTATGCTGGTGGCATTGCACAAAAGAGTGAAGAAGCTAAAGGAACATCTGATGGCATACACATAAATGTCTCTTTCCTAGGAACATTCATGAGATCAAGGCCATCCAGAAGAGAGCAGCATATGATGCAGAGAGTTTACCTTTGAAAAAGGAGAAATGAAACTCGTTATGCAGACGAGCCCAGCATCAGCAAACAACCTGGCCACCTCTGCAATGCGGCGGATGTTCTCCTCACGGTCTCCGGCTGAGAAACCCAGGTTTTTATTCAAGCCATGCCGAACGTTATCACCATCCAGGGAATAGCAGGGGATGCCATGAGAGACCAAGTACTCTTCCAGAGCAAAGCCGATGGTTGTCTTACCAGCTCCAGAAAGGCCTGTTGGAGACAGAAAAGTGAGGTTCAGGTTTGAGTTCAAAAGAATGAAAATGACTCCATAACCTAATTCTTCCTGAGATGCTGGCAACATCCTCCTGTCTGGACCTGCTTTAGCAAAAATGAGGTAGGGAGGTTGGAGTAACCTTTTCAGTGTATTGTTACTGCCACAGGACCCTGGTCAAACCTTCTTACTCCAGGGGTGGTATTAATGCTATGCGAAATGCTGTTAGACCCTCCCATCTGGACAGGTTCAGCCCAGCTGTGTTGCAGAAGTACATCCTGCTGGGCCACGGTGGAACAAGCAGGTGTCAGGAAGAGGAGGAAGCTTTAAAGGATGCTGTTGCCTCTACGTCTTTCAGTATCTTCCTCCTCCTCTTCCCCCTCTGGACAGCCAACCGCTCTCCTGGAGTGGTCCAAGGAGAGATTCTTGCCACAAGTGCATGCAGTAGGATGGGCTCCAACAGCAGCAACAGCCCCTGCGCATCCACAGACACCTCCACTTACACAAGAACAGAAGCCACAGATCTGTAACAGCAGAACAGGATGGCTCTGCATCTCCTGGAGTCAGGTCAGCAACCAGAAAGTCACCAGTCCTAAGTGAGGTGGCTGTTTCTCACCCCATCTCCATCCACTCACACAGTGAGCACTTGCTACTACCTGTGTAGCAGAGCGGCAAGAAGATCTGGGGCACCAAAACCGCTCCTTTCACTTGGGTGGGGATGCACGTGTAGAAAGCTCCTTGAGATGGAAGAGGATCTCAGCTTAGGAAAGAGAACACCTCCAAACACAATGCCTGCCTCAGGAAACCCTTCGCCTTGGAAAATATCCTGAGGAGACAACATCACCTGCCTGCCTCTTTATTTATATACCCCAAATGAGATCCAGGCGAGGTGGACTTTCAGTAGATGCAGAACGGTCATGCTTGTGCTAGAGAGGAAATGTGGCTGGGTGTGCTGCTGCCTGTGCCTTTGGTTTGTGTAGTACAACGGCCTGAGGGCCTTCCTCAGCAATGCAGGACACTCAGGTGTCCTTCTGCTTCATCTATGTAGTCCATGTAACATCCTTCCATACGGTCTCTTAAAAGTCAGTTGTTGGGAAGTTAGGAGGCCACTGCGTATGTCACAGAGTCATAGGTTGGAAGGGACCTCAAAGACCATCTGGTTCCAAGCCCCTGCCATAGGCAGGGACACCACCCACTAGATCAGGTTGCTCAGGGCCTCATCTAACCTGGCCTAAAAATCCTCCAGGGGTGGGGTATCCACAACCTCTCTGGGCAACCTGTGCCAGTGCCTCACCACCCTCTGAGGGAAGAATTTCCTCCCAACCTCTAATCTAAATCTCCCCTCTTTTAGTTTAAAACCATCCCCCCTCATCCTGTCATTATCTGCCCAAGCAAAAAGTTGCTCTCCACCTTTTTTATAAGCCTCCTTTACGTACTGAAAAGCTGCAATGAGGTCACCCCAAAGCCTTCTGATCTTTTGCCTCAGAACCCCAGCTCTCTCAGCCTTTCTTCGTAGGAGAGCTGTTCCAGCCCTCTGATCATCTTCATGGCCCTCCTCTGGACCCACCTCCTTCTTGTACTGGGGGCCCCAAATGTGGATGCAGGACTCCAGGTGGGGCATCACGAGGGCAGAGCAGAGGGGGACAATCACCTCCCTTATATACTGGCCACTCCTCTGGTGTATGCTGGGATACAGCCCAGGATGTAGTTGGCCTTTGGGCTGCAAGCATGCACTGCTGGCTCACGTCAAGCTTTTTGTCCTCTGAAACTCCCAACTCTTCCTCTACAGGGCTGCTCTCAATTAGTTCTTCTCCCGGTCTGTACACATGTCCAGGATTTCCCCGACCCAGGTGCAGCACCTTGCACTTGGACTTGTTGAACCTCATTCAGTTCACATGGGCCCACTCCTCAAGCTTGTTCAGGTCCCTTTGGATGGCATCCCTTCCTTCTGTTGTATCAACTGCACCACTCAGCCGGGTGTCATCTGCAAACTTGCTGAGGGTGCACTTGATTCCATCGTCTATGTCATTGATACAGATGTTAAACAGCACTGGTCCCAGGACAGACCCCTGGGAGACACCACTTGTCACAGGCCTCCACCTGGACACAGAGCCATTGACCACCACTCTCTGGGTGTGACCTTCAAGCCAACTCCTTATCCACTGAATGGTCCACCCATCAAATCCATCTCTCTCCAATTTGGAGATCACATTGTCATGTGGGACCATGTCAAAAGCCTTACAGAAGGCCAGGTAGATGCCATCAGTCGGTCTTCCCTTGTCAACTGATGCAGTCACTCCACCACAGAATGCCACCAGATTGCTCAGGCACAATTTGCCCTTGGTGAAGCCATGCTGGCTGTCTTGGATCACCTCTCTGTCTTACATGTGCCTTGACATTGCTTCCAGGCAGATCTTGTCCATGATCTTCCCAGGCACAGAGGTGAGGATCACCAGTCTGTAGTTCCCTGGGTCCTCCTTTCTACCCTTCTTAAAAATGGGAGTGTTTCCCTTTTTTTCAGTTACCAGGGATTTCACCTGACTACCAGGATTTTCAAGCATGATGGAGAGAGGCTTGGCAACTCCATCAGGCAATTCCTTCATGGCCTTGGGATGCATGGCAGCATGCCCCATAAACTGTTTGTACTTGTTTAGTTTCATCAGGTGGTCTCGAGCTTTCTCTTCACTTACAGTGGGTGAGGGACTTTGCTCCCCCAGCTCCCATCTACACATTCAGGAAAATGAGAGACTTGGGAAGCCTGACTGACAGTGAAGACTGAGGCTAAGAAATTGCTGAGTACCTCAGCCTTCTCAGTGTCTATCACTACCAATCCTCACTCTCCTTGGCCTTTCTCTTTTGAGCAATGTACCTACAGAATCCTTTCCATGTTATTCTTTGCATCCCTTGCCAAGCTCAGTTCCATCTGTGCCTTGGCTTTCCTAATACCATCCCTGCACATCTGGGCAGCATCCCTGTACTATTCCCAGGCTACGTGTCCCTGCTTCCACTGTCTGTGTGTTTCCTTCTTCAGCTTCAATTTGACCATCAGGTCCTTGCTCAGCCATCCCGGTTGTCTGCCCTCCCTGCCTGCTTTCTTACCTAGGGAGATGGCGAGTTCTTATGCTCAAAGAGGCTCCAGCTCTGTTCAGCTCCTTTGTCCCTGAGGACAGTGTTCCAGGGGATCTCATACCCCAGGTCTTTAAATAGCTTGAAGTTTGCTCTTTGGAAGTTCAGGGTCCTGACTTTGCTCTTCGTCAGGCCCATATTCCCCAAGATCACAAAAGAGTAGTCATCAGCCAAAGAAGTTCAAAGCTTTTGTATGCAGGAGCTTGGAGTGACACTTGAAAGAAGGAAATTGCCTTGGAGAATTATTTCTGGCTTCAGAAATGATGTTAAAACAGATAAGATGCTGGCCTTCTTGAGATTAAAGAGGAAAACAAAATAGAGATGTGTTTTAATCCAACACCTAACACATAAATTGATAATGAAGGCAAATCAGAATGGCTTTACAAACCCTTCCACTCGTGTCTTGCATCATCATCTGGCAGCCAAAGAAAATATAAGTATTTAACAAGCAAAGAAAAAAAATGGAAAGTAGCAAAAAAAATGTCATGTAATTATCAGCAGAGCATAATAAATGCAGTTGCCATTTTTAGAAGTCCCTAGTCCTCAAATACTGAGTTGGTTTTTCAAAGCAGAAGAGAAAGGCAACACACCAGAAGGTGCACAGAATGAGAAATAACATGAAAACTGCGATGGCAGCACAGTAACTTTCAGCACAACTCACTGTCTGGGTGTATTTCCTTTCCAGACAAGGAGACCACCTTGTTTTGCTGCTCACAAGGTCATTTTAAGCACAGTAAACCTGAGTGCCCCCACAAACTTTCCATTGACCCAGAATGGAAATCTGTGTGTGCTGTTCCAGACGATCCTGGGCGTGTTTCACTGCCAGGGGCTGCCCGGGTTTGAGCCAAGACTTCTTCAGCCACACGCTTTGGGACAAGTGTGACCCATAGGGCTTTTTATGTGTTCAATCAAGGGAGCCAGGAAATAGAGGCCCCAGTAACAGCTGTGAAATTTATAACAACGTTAGTTAGGGGCAGCAGCTGCCAGGGAGAACATCTTGCATTACAAACACCATACAGCAACGTTTCCTTGCTTCCTACTCAAAATTGTTTTGCAACTCCCAGCTCACAAGGAACACTGGTGTTTCCCACAGATCCCAAAACCCCACCTCCAAGCTGTCCTCCTTATCCCCTTCATTCATGCAAGCAGCTGTCACATGAAGCGAGACATTCGCGCCCAGATGAAAATACCTGTTAGCCAAACCGTGCAGCCTCGGAATCCACCCCTGGTACCGACAACTTGTCCTCTCTTACTCCTGCTGACATGGTGCGCTTGGTAAACCACATTGGTTGATCCCTAATGGAAACAGAGCAGAACAGAGCTTTCGTCACCGTGCTGCACTCTGTATGTGAGAAAACTTTCAGCCAGGACCCAAGAGAGATGCAAGTTCATTCAAAAATCTACACAAGCCATCGCGGCGAACACTGGCAATTTCATTGTACGGGAAAACACTACAACCAAAATAGGAAAACAGGAAGAAAACAAGGGAAAACAGTGAGCTTTTAAGTCACTGGCGTAAGTTATGCCTGTCCAAGTCCAGGTGTGGGCTGCAGCCAGAATGAGTGACATGGCAGGGCTGAACTGGGCGAGCCTGTCCCCTCCAGCAGGGCTTTGCTCCTCCTCACCGCTGCCACGATGCGGTCAGGTCCCACAAAACCAAGCGCACCTGCCTGCAGAGCCTCAGGCAGCTGCGATAATTGTGAGGGTTACGTTTCCAGCCGCGCCAGCAAAAGGGAAAGTCCCAGCAGAAGCTGGCATGGAAACATTCTCTCCTCAGCCGCAATCTGCATCTGAACTGCAGGCTCATCCCTTCCGTACTGTTGGTGCAGCAGGGGACCCAGGCTTTCTCATAACGTACATCATCCCATGGAAATATTTCTACGTCTCAAGTCACAGCAGGGAAGCCATCACATCTTATATGCCTGAGATTTTTTTCAACAAGCAAAAAGGAATGGAGGAATGGGAGAGAAAAACTTTTACAATTGTCTGCAAAAGAGCCTTTTTTTTTTTTCCTGTGCTTTCTGGGCCATTAATTAATATGATGCAGCAAAGGCATGAGCGTTCATTGGAGGCTTGGTATTTTGTATGCACCAGAGGGCTGTGCCTGCACAGAAATCTGGGTGACAATTACTCTGTAACAAAAGAGAAAGAACACCCTCCTTGCCTCTTCTCTCTTCAGTATTAGCCCTTTCAGAGAGGCCAGCATCCTAGCAGAGGTCAAGCTCCCACGACAGAGATGTATCAAATCTACTCAGAATGTCATGCTCAATTTCAATTCCAGTTTAGCTAAAAACTCCAAAAATAGCCTCTTTCTATGCCTGCAAACAAGAGGTGAAATTTTCCAGTTGCAATTGCTTGTGGGCATGCTGAACAGATACCCAGGTCCAAAACAGCTTAATATAACAGGTTCCCTTTTCATTGCTGCTCTCAGCAGAGTAGGTCCCTGATGCTGCTTCCCCTTCCCGTGGCCATTTCAGTGGATAAAAATAAATTATTTGGGTGTTTCCTGAGTTGATCTTCTGCAGGTTGAAGTCCTACTCCTTTTTCCTTCTTTGCAAGCAGCTCATCCAAGCTCAAGGGACAAAGGACGCTGCTGGCATCTCCCTTGACAAGAATACCCGTGTGCTTCTGCAGTGACGTACCCGCGCCAAATCACGTTCTGCTGCAACAAGCCTCCCTCCTCCACCAGCAGGGTGCTCTTACCAGCATCACCTCACCTCTTGCCACGTGAGTACAGTGCAAAGAAAGAGCCTGCTATGGACCCAGGCAGGTAAGATGCTGTCTGAGACACAGACCCCAGTGCACATCAGCAGCACCCTTCAAGTCTTGCAGCCCTTCCGCGAGCATCGCAATGTGCCACCCCTTCCCCAAAACCATACTGCTGTGCCAGCAACCCCAAACAAAACCTCTCTGGGTCCCACTGGGAAAGCATGACTGAGCAGAACACAGCCTCATGACTCCTAAAACAGAAGGCAAAGATAAATAGTTCAACATTTGGTTTCAGGGTGTTGGTGTTTTGTTGTTTTGTTTGTTTGATTTGCAGGGGGGATATCAAAAGTCTTTTTGAGCATGTGGAACTTGCAAATATGAGATGGCACCACCATGGTTTCATTTTTTCTTGTTCCTAGGGGTTCAGGACTTCAGAAGCAGGATTAAATGAGCACACGTGGAAGGCAACAGACACCAAAACAGCCCCTGGGCCCAAGACACCACAGTGCGTTCCTGCTGCTTTACCTTTGGCTGAGGCCTGGCACCTGGTCTGGCGCTGTGTGTGGGTGCCCAAACTCACTCCTCTCAACAGTGCACCACGACTCAGTGCTGCAGTGAAGCCATCCCAGACACAGCACGAAGCCTTGAGTGGCAATCACACAGCCCTCCAGTGCCCCAGCACATGGAGCAGGTATTTTGCAGTTTGCAAACCACAACAGAAGAGGCAGATATTTCTGTGTGGAGAAATGAAACCTGCAAGTTCCAAAGCTCTTTCCTACACCCTTCTGCCCCCTGCATCAGCAGGAACTCCCGCAGCATGCTTATTTCCTCACAAAGTGGCTTTGCAGAGCATTAATCTGCTGGGTCTACTCTGCATGACCAGGAATACGATAACGTCTGTGCCTCAGGAAGATGCAGGTGTTAACACATTCCTACATGGCTGACATAATGAGATTATTATGTTAAAAGTACATGCTGCTGTAAATTTGCACAGTACATGCATCTTGGAGCAGGTTTTTTTGTTCACACCAGCATCTTTTGGAGCTTGGCAAAGCATCATCGATTGCATTTTTGCAACCCAGCAGCACTTCCAGACCTCTCATACCTGCTGGTTCCAGATCCCTCCAGTTTTGCTCCTACACCCTTAGAAATCTCACTGCTACAGAGGCAGATTTCCCCAGAGTCATGTGTCTGAACAGTGGGACTCACACCGACTCCGACCCTTGTTACCAGCTGCACAGAAAATAAGAGGCATAGGGCAGTGGGAGGCTTCGCTGGGGGCTGCTCAGCAAAACCCCCACATCGTCATCCAGCAGCTCAGGAAGTCAGATCTGAAAGCAAGCAGAGAGAAGCCACAGCAGCACCAGAAATAAGCATTAACAGTCTGAGAGCAAGTGTCAGAGAGATTTCATCTAGAAGGAACGTACATGGTAAGGCTGTTAGCAGGCAGAGATAAGGTTTCGTAAGACACAGGGTTGGTCTGCTGATTTTCTTCTCGTGTTATTAATCTCGTCATCGTAAATCAAACAGACCAAGCCTGTGTACAAAGACCTCAAAATACATCTAAAAGAGATCAGGGCTTCTGATCAGCCCTGCAGCATGCCTGAATGCTGGGCCCCATGGGGGTGGGAACAATTCAGAGACACTGGCAAGCATTTCTCGCAGAAATTCTGAGTCTGGCCACGTCTACACTAGCTCAGTGCCCAGACCACCCACCCTGGCTCACCTCATCCAAGACAGGGGACAATTTAATAAGTGATTCCAGACCTTCTGCCAAGGCTGCAGTGGGCTCTGCTTTTCACCTTCTGCTCCTACTGAACCTTTCCATGAGGTTGACAAACTGGGAAGCACCAAGATTGCAGAATCATAGCATCACAGTATGGTTTGGGTTGGGAGTGACCTTAAAGACCATCCCATTCCAACCTTCCACTTCCAGGGACACCTCCTACCAGCCTAGGCTGTCCCAAACCCCATCCAGCCAGGGCTTGAGCACTTCCAGGGGTGGGGCATCCACAGCTTCTCTGGGTAGCTGTGGATGGTCTGGGCAGCTGGGCAGCTGTGGCTTGAGACCAGAGAGCCCACCATAGCACAGACCTGATGGAAGTCAGGAGCCATCAGTGTCCCCTGCTCTGAGAGGTGCCACTTCTCAACTCGTAGCATCTAGAAAAGTCACCTCAGCTCTGCTCAAGTGTTGGCTGTGAAAGGGAGCAGTGGCACGTGCCAGATAAATCGAAGGATGCATGTGACTGCCCACATGAGGTGTTATCAGGCAGCATCTTCTCTTACCCAACAGTGCTGTGCTGAAAGCACCATATCTGGGGGCCTCTCCCAACCTTGTCTGACATCTGTTAGAAGCAGAAAAACTGCACGATTAATAGATAATGTACTAGACGAACAATAAATGGGAACTGCACGGACGATTTGCCATCCATCTTTCATTAGCCATTCAAATAGGTACCAACTCTGGACCTTAGGATGCGCCTCTGGCCCCAGCTGCCCATTTCTTTGGCCAGCGTCCCCGCAGCTGCTGGGGGGATCTCCGGGGAGCAGCTCCCTCCAACACACCGCACACCAGCCCAAGGACCGCACTGATGGAGGAACAGCATCATGGACTGGCCTCGCATGGAGGCGGGTGACGTCTGGCAGCACCTCCGGGGGCTCCCCCAGCATCATTTCTACTTACAGGACTCACGTCATTAGGATGATGATTCACTTCTCCAGTTAAGTGTTTAATACATGCCCTATTTTGGTACTTCAGGCCTGGAAAACTCTCCAAAAGGAAAAATAAAAAAACGACAACAAACAGCAACAGGAAGGATAGGCTTCCAAAAACATTTTGAGCCCATCATATTGAAAAATGATACAACTGACTTTTGAAATGATAAAATGATAAAGCAAGCTTTCATGTTTGAAGTCAAATGCTTGTTTAAACCTACAGAGACTGATCTTGTTGTATAAAATTACTTCTCAAATCCTGCCACTGCATTAAAAAAAATATTTTTTTCTCATTAGATGGTAAAAATTAAGTTATGGAACTTTTCCTTAAAAAAATAAAAATTCTTCTATGAGGGCAATTCCTGCAGCTGCTCTTGCAAAAGGGCATCACTGAGGAGGGAAAGCATCCGTCACCACCGTGGGGGAAAAACCGTCCATAACAGAGTGAGAACGGGGGCTTTTGCTTGGGGAAGGCTGGCTCATATAATCAAACACAACGGAGAAACCTCGGAGTCTCTGAAGTCATGATGTAGCTCTTGTAACACTACCTACAGACTTTTCCCAAACATCACCGTAGTTCACTGCAAAGGGCTAAGGTGGTAAGGGTTTCAAAATCAGCTCTCTCCTTTCCCAGGGAAAAACCCCAGAGGGCTGGAGTTACTCTGGAAATTTCCGCCTGTTTCAGGCCACAGGATCCCATCACCACAGAGTGGAGCAGGGCCAGCAGGTGCAGGGAAGGAGGGCTGGAGCTTCTCAAGCACCCAATGCCAACCATCTCCATGCCACCCATCTTCCTGCCCCCCCCACTGTCTCCCTCTTCCCTGCACATTTGGGCCACCTGACACGGCGCTACCTGAAGAGCTAGGGGACAC